AGAATTGCCTGTCAATGTGGATCATGTGCATGATGCTGAGTGGTATGTATGTAAGGGTAGGTGTGGGAGGGAGCATGTATACATGGGCTGCCTGTGTATGTGGTATGTATATATGAATGGAATGGTGTACACATGTGTATAGTGTGTTGTATGTATATGGTACAGTGAGGTGTGTGTGTTTGTGTGTGCTTGTGTCTTGGTCAACTTGGGCTACCATAACAAAATGCCATAGATTGAGTGGCTTGAACAACAGACATTTATCATAGCTTAAGTGGCTGGGAAGTCCAAGATCAAAGCCCTCTTCCTAGTGTGCAAATGGCTACCTTCTCACTGTCTTCACATGATGGAGAGAGAGCTATAGTGTCTTTCTCTTCTTATGAGAACACTAATCTCATCATGGGAACCCCACTCTCATGACCTCTCTAAATCTATAAATTATCTCCCAAAGGCCCCACTTCCAAATACCATCACATTGAGTGTTATGGCTTCCACATATAAATTTGAGAGGGGACACAAACATTCAGTCCACAACAGCATGTCACTAAGAGAAACAAGGGGCTGAGATGTGAAGAGTTGTATAAACCAGTAGGCCATACCCTGACTCTCTACTTTAACACAAGATTTTGCCCAAACTGTGGGGCAATTTGTCCTTCAGGGAGATTTTTTAAAATATCACAGAAATCCAGCTATTTTACAATTTTCCCTTGATAAATTTTCCTCTAGGTGAAGACTCCTTTATTGACTCAGAGTTCTTAGGGATCATCTAGTTCAATTCATTTGTGTTTTCTGATGATAGAACTTGGATGGAGGGAAGGGCTCTTCCAGGATCAACTGGAATGGAGACCAGCACCTAGACCTCCAGAGCCTCAATCCTCAATTTTTCTACTCTCCCAACAGTAGCGCTGGAATCAGAAGTAAAATAATTTAATTGAGTCAACACTTGTCTCTGAAGAAGTAGCGAAAATACTTACATAAAGCCCTACTAAGCGGTACTTCATTTTATAATATTTTTAAATAGAAAATGCTCCATAAGATGAACACTTTTCTTAGTGAAATAATCCAATTTCTTGTTTTCCTTTTCCTCTACAGCAAGAGGAGTGATTTTATCATTTTAGCAGCAGTTCTACCCTTCCAGCAACCCATCAGCAGCTGGCCAAGGTTTGTGTCTTAAGGAAAAAAGATAAGTGCAATATGGCGACTACTTTTTGGCCTTCTTTAAATTACTGAGTTAGCATAGACTGAAAGAAATGTTGATTATCCATCTGGGAACAAGTTTGGGCCACAGACCAGGCTTAGACAATCTCTCACTCACCAAATAAAACTTGGCAATTCTACAAAATTTTAAGCTTGAAGTGCTGGCAATAATAGAAGAAACATGCTCATCACTCTAGGGAAAACAGTCAACTTTTCCTTTGAGATGATAATACCAGAAACCTAACGATAAAATAATCAATCTCAAGTAGCTTATTCGCCAATAACCCTGATAAAATGTTTTGTGAGCCCGAGCCAAGGAGTCTGAGTCATGTGAGCAGAGAAGAATTGGATTTCTGTCTTTCTTCCTTCACGCCCAGGGCCAGTGGAAAACTTCAGCTTAGTGACAGTTACACTTGATATCAAACTAAGAGTTAAGAGAGTTGTCTAGGAGACTTACTGTTAGAGTTACACACTGTCCAAGCAAGGCTTGGGACTTACAGAGACTGGGAAAGCCAATTGCAGTGGCCAATTGTAGAGACCATTTTTCTATTTCTCCTTCATTCCTGGGGCTTCAGTTTCCCTCTAATTAAATGGATATAATATATTCTTCTTATAAGTCTTCTAAGCTAATCAAATAGATCAAGATTAGGCTGTTTTGGAAAAAATCCATATTGTAGTGAGTTCATGTTTATTTGGTCATCTTCTTTTTTTTAAATTTCATAATATTATGAGGGTACAAACACTTCAGTTATATATGTTGCCTTTGCACTGCCTGAGTCAGAACTACAAGTGTACCATTCCCCAGACAGTGTGCACCACAGCTGGTAGATGTGAATTTACTTATTCCTTCCTCCCCCCTCCTACCTGCTCCACACCCAATGAATGTTACTTCCATATGTGCACATAAGTGTTGATCAATTAATGCCGATTTAATGATGAGTACATGCGGTGCTTGTTTTTCCATTCTTGTGATACTTCACATAGAAGATTGGGTTCCAACTCCACCTAGGATGATACAAGAGGTTCACCATTGCTTTTTATGGCTGAGTAGTACTCCATGGTATACATATACCACATTTTCTTAGTCCACTCATGTATTGATGGGCGCTTGAATTTCCACATCTTTAAAATTGTGAATTGTGCTGCTATAAGCATTCCAGTGCAGATGTCCTTATTATTGAGTATCTTTTTACCCCTTGAGTAGTGAGATTGCTGGATCAAGGTGGTCACCTTCTGTGATTCTTGTTTGGTCTGGCATGGCAGCCTCCATCCCACCTCCAAAACACACATATACTCTGCTATCCTGGCATTAGAGAGGCACACAGTGATGCTAACCATACCACTTTGTACTACCATCCAAAGAAACTCTACACAAATGGGACCCATATCCTTTTAATCATAAGACATTAATAAGTTTTTTTAATAAAATAAAAAGTATATTTTATTAAATTTAAGTTGTTTTTTAAGATGCACCATTTTATGAACCACTAGAAGAGAAAAACTGCTTCCAATTAAACTGAAACATAGTGCTTTATGTTTTTATTTCTGTCAATCTTGCTAAAGGGTCATCTATTTTATTGATTTTTTTTAAAGAATCACCTTTTGTTTCCTTGACTTTATCTATTGTTTTCCTATTTTTAGTCACGTTCATATCTGTTCTATATTAGTTTTCTTCCTTCTGCTTGCTTCAGATTTATTTTGCTCTTCTTTTTCTAGTTTCTCAATGTAGGAACTTAGATTATTGACTTGAGACATTTCTTCACTTCTAATGTAAGCATTTGGTACTATAAATTTTCCTCTCAGCACTGCATTTGATGTGTCTCACATATTTGGACACTTTACTTTCAAATTTTTGCTCAGTTCTGTATATTTTAAAATTTCCTTTGATACCTTTTCACCCATGGATTATATAGAAATGGCTTGTTTAATTTCCATGGATTTAGAGATTTTCCTATTGCCTTTCTGTTATTGGTTTTTAATTGAGTTGATTATGGTCAGAAAACATACTGTATCTGATTTAAATTCTTTTAAATTTTTTTGAGATTTGTTTCATGTCCCAGGATATGGTCTATCTTGATTAATGTTCTGTGGGTGCTTAAAAAAACTGTGTTTTCTGCTGTTGGTGGTGGAATGTTCTAAATATATCAATTAGAACCCATTGATTAATTGTATTGTTTGTATCTTCTATATTTTTGCTGGGTTTTTGTCTAGTAGTTTCATTATTTTCTACAAGGTGGGTACTGAAGTCCCCAACTATTAATATAAATGCAGATTTATTTACTTCTCCTTTCAGCTCTATCGTTTTTACTTCATGTATTTTGAGGCCTGTTGTTTGGCGTGTGCACACTTAGGTACTTTGCGTCTTGGTTAGATGACCCAGTACTTCCTAGATAGGCCCAGGATATCAGAACATTTAATTATGACAGTACCACTCCAATTAATTTTATTTCATTGAGACATGAATTGCAGAGCTTGAAGTTATACAGATCTGGCCCCAGAGAGATATAATGAAGACACTTTCAGGAAAATGAGTAGGCCTGCCATAGGCTGGGAAAATATGGTAGCAGTATGACAAAGGTCATGTATCCATATTTAAAGAACTACAAATCCACAATAAAAGGACACAGAACCTAACTTTGAGAATGGGCAAAAGATTGAATACACACTTCACAAAAGAAGACATATGGACGACCATCAAATACATGAAAAATTTTGAACATTAGTTATCAAGGAAGTAGAAATGAAAATCATGAGATACCATTTCACACCTACTACACAGACTAAAGTACAAAAGACAATGCCAAATGTTGGGCAAGAATAGGGAGCCATTGGAACTTGTTTATAGCAAGTGGAAATGAAAATGGTAGAACCACTTTGGAGAATTATTCGGAAGTTTCCTATAAAGTTAAGAAACTTTATAAAACCTATCAATGCCACTGACAGTCCATTCATAAACAAGCCTGAACACTTGCATGTTGGTTTCCCTGCTCCCATATTTTCCATGTTTTAATTTTACTATTCTCATGTTTCCTCTATTCCTTCACATCCTCAATGAGTTCTCCTCAATTAACCATAAGGAGACCCATTTTGTCTACATTCATTCTAGAAGGTATACATGTGATGACAAAAAACAAAAACAATTTAGTATTAGATGCTTATTTTGCCAAAATAAGATGGCAACTACTGTCTTGATGATGACCGTAGATGTTAGCTTTGCGTCAAAGGTAACAATAAAAATGGAACATATACTGACATAAGAAAGACAATATTTGGATTTTAAATTTTGTTTCATGTACCAAATAACTCATAGACTTCTTTAACAACAGAATGAAAACCACATCATAGTCATTTGAAAAGTTCATTTATTATATACCAATATACACTCTCTGTAATAAAAAAAAAAACCTCCGAATACATCGAACCATCTTATAAATGAAATAAGAAAATAAAATTTCCATCTGTTTACAAATGGGGTTAAATTAATCAGCACAAGATACCATATGTATGTCTGCCCTGTCGTATATGTGAACTCTAATCCTGAAAATGGCCATGAGAAAAAAATGATGCTTTATTATTTGGCACTGTTGTATTGCTCTTGAATATTTATATAATTAGACATGATATTTTCAAGTTAGTCATTTTAAATGCAAGCATTCAAAATATATACAGAGTTAACAGTTTTTCATTTTGGGGGATTAATCATTGATATTTACACTTAAACATGCCCAATTAAATGTTTTTTGACATTCAGAAATACTATTTTTTTTACTTTCTATTTTGATACACTCTTTAGATGAATGAAAATGGAAATATATCTTAAAGATAATATTTGGCAATTTTTTTCCAGATAATGGTAACTCAAAAGTTATGATATTTTTCAGCAATGCTCAATTTCCATAACAAAGTGCATCATTTTATAATATTATGCCTCTAAAAAATAATATGTGAAACAAATATATTTTTTCTTGGGCACATCTCAGAAAAACCATTGAATATGATTTGGTATTATCATACTGGTATGATCCTTGTATTTTATACTTGGCTTTACTAATATATAAAACATACAAGTGAACACTATGATTTGAAAAAAAGTAATAAATTCAAAAATTCTAGGCAATGAGTAGTAATTTTTCAATCCATTTCATGTAAGTGTGTTATAGAAGAGAGCAAGAATGATAGTTTGCATTTCTTTATAGTGTTAGCACTTTTATCTTTATGGGAGAACCACTCAACATTGTATTAAATGACAAATGAGTGTCAGCAAACACCTGTGCAAGCTAAAATGAATTAAATCCTATTTTAGACATGCTAAATTAAAAGAACAACCTTAGTATTGATAATTATTTGCAAATAAGGAACTTATTTTCTTGTAGATAATTATATTATTGGAAACTTTGAAGAAGAGCATTACTGAACTATATATAACTTAGGTTTCAGATTTAAAATATCCCTAATAGACAGATACATACAAATGGATTTTTGAGCCCACCAGCTTAAGTCTTTGCCCCCACCCCCAATAACATAAATGTTTTGACTGTGAAGAGAGAAAACTACACATGTAAAAAATAAAAATCAAATGTAGCATATGTTAACATTCTGATGACTACAGAATAAGATTATATACACAAAAATATAGCAAATCACAGTTTCCTGCACTGAATGTTTATCACATAAAAATGTATCAAAGAATACTGGGTAGTGTATCTCCACACGAATCGTGGTCTTCTAAAAATTCTGAATGAGAATGGAAGACGAGAGGGAGAGCATTGTTCAATGACAAAAGTATAAGAAGAGAACTAGAAATAACATTAAAAAGCAGGTGTTTCCAGAACAGGCAGTTTAGCTATAAGAATTATTTTTGTTGTTGCTCTATAATTTGAATAAAGCCCCTCTCTATGTTTAGCAAGATGTTTTAACATTTACTGAAAAATTCATTGAATAAAGAAGTCACTAATTCAATGTCACAAACAAGATGGGCAAATATTCTTTTGCTGTTGACAGCGAGATGCTCTCGGCTAGTGTCTGATTGTTTGTATACCTTAGGGGGACAATTTATGAGCCATGCCTTTTGCCTCTGTTAGTAAACAGACCCAGAGTGTTTGGTGCAAGATTAGGAGAAGGCATTAAGTGGTGACAGTTTTGCCACCAGGGCATTTTTGTTTGATGTTCTGAGAATACAAGTATTTGGTACTTTTGGGGGCGGTTGGAGGGTAAGGAGAAGGCAGGGGGAAAGTATACTAACTGATAACCATTACACACAGCTCTCATTACCGCTTATACAGCAGTAAAAATACAGCATGATCATCTCACATTGCTCTAGTAAAACCTGGGTAGAAATGTGCACCACAGATTTTAAACACATAAACAGCCATTCTTGACAAAAACGATGATTTTCTCTTCTGCAAGTGTCTGGTGATATTATTAGTAAACGTCTTTGGAATCTTCCTGTTATTTCCTATGAATAACATTCCAATCAAGGTAATGTAAATGTCTTTTGGAACGTAACTTGCAACCATTTCCAATAGAAAGTATTTTTCCTTGGGTTAGTGGTGCTTAGAATTTGGAGGATTGTAAATCCAGTCAATTATGATGAGTGCCATGCTTCCAATCATGAAGACAATTCCAACCACAAGGAAAATTAAAGCCTGTAATTCAGAGGGAACTTGTTAGGGAACACATAAACCATACTTAGCACAGTTTGTTCTTATAAGTTGTTTACCCAAGCTGGCAATCTTATTTGCATATTGAATTGTATTATTTTAAATAACTCAGATGCCCGTGTCTAACAGATTAGTTAGTTTAGCCCTAGTTGGGGAAAAAGGAGGAATACAGTAGAGAGATATAAACTAAAGTTTCAACAATAGAGTAGTGGCTAATTGATTTGGTACCTTAAAATGATGGAACACTCTTCCATCATTAAAAATCAAGTGATAGAAAAATATTTAATAATCTAGGGAATGCTTACAACATTTTAGTGAAAATGAGCAGGTCATAAAATAGTAGTATGTATGATATGATTCTAGTTTTATAAAGCAAACAAAAACGAAAGCCTAATATATTTTTCTACAAAAAGTGTATATACGTGTGTGTTTACATACATATCATATACACACATATTATATATATGTATATATGTATGTACATATATATAAAATATTTCAGAATTTTAACACTAGAAGGGGCCTTACATATTACCACATGGATCAACCTCCTAATTCTAAATATGAGAAAACATTAGCTAAATTTCTTTTTCACTAGAAAGGGTCTAAGATATAATTTTATTCATTTTACATCTGGTCAAACTGAAAATGGGTCACAGACGGGACAAGTAATTTGCCAAGGGCACACTGCTGTAAAAGTCCAAGTAAGGTGGATTACATGGAGTTGAAATTCAGGGTCAAGGTGATGGGAGGGGCTTTTGATACCAAACTCTCCTGAAGTCCCTGAACAATCCCAAGAGGTGAAGGAGTTCAAGGCAAAAATTCAGAATAATTCAGTAAGAAGCATTCTTTTCAAGCCTTCATATAAGACCTTATTAAGCTGTCATGGATAATATTCAGTTATTGTAAAAACAATTATTTCTAGCATATGTTTCTATAGTACTAAAATACTCCCTAATTTAATAAGATTATATTTTATATCTAAAGAGATTAACTGGAATACAAATGGTTCTGTTCTGGGTATCAGTCCACACAAGGGATAGCAGGGTCTTATGGAAGAGAAAACAAAGGCAACATCTTTTCTTTGGTCTTCCACACCTAGCGAATATGACCCAAATAGTTGAATTATTCCATAACAATGCTAGGGAGCCTAATGACCTCCTGCACAATTTCACATAAATAGTGCAGCAGGAGAAGTAGCTTAACATTGGAAACAGGTATGCATAGAAAGCCCAGGTGCCAGTGGGAAAAGTTATTAGCATTCAACATGTATGAGGACTCAACCCAGGATATTTGATAGCTGAAGAGAAGGACTTCTAGTAGAATCATTTGAGTTTCAGAAATCTACCCCTTTCTCTCTTACCAGAGAGTTCTAGCCCATTTTTGATTTTGGGTTCTTGCTCATTGATTCATTTTTCTGAAACTTGTGTGTTTTCTGGTTTACTCCAAGTAGTTGAAGAGCAACTAATAATGGGGGAAATTGTAAGCCTTACTTACCCCGACCTTTTGGGGTGACCTAAGAGGTTCCTTCTTGACAAGTCTAAGATAAAAAGCTGCTGGAAGAATAAAAATCAGCATGGTGGCAGATGAAGCCCCTGAGGAGACAAACACAAGGCAGGTCAATGTCCTACACAGTAGGTGCTTACCCAGTGAAGTAGACACCTGAGGGCATGCACTTTGAAGGTACCAAATATAAAGCTATCCTATTCTTCTTAGCAGTGAAAGCACACATTTAAATTACATAAGCTCATCTTGGTTGCTTATTTGTAGAAGATATGTTTATTTGGAAAATTAAAATGTATCTAACATCATAGCTGCATAAGTATATATAACAAAATAAAGCAATAAAAAGCTGAACTTAATACAAATTTACAGGGGATTAGAAAAATAAATATTAAGCTGAACTCTTCGCACACCCTTCCTACCCACCTCTTACTTTTCAAGTTGCCTACACCTGATTCTTTTAAAGTTTTAGAATGTGTGTAAAATTTGAGTAACTCCTCAATCAGTAGAGTGAAAAATTAATTAATAGACCACATAGTTAAGGAAAATAATATGCTTTACAAAATCAACCTCCTATTGCTCTGAAGATACCCTTTAATGCTCAGTTGATATTCATATACCTGAGAGGTAGACAGATTCTATCTTCCTGACTTTTTTACTGATGATAGAGTTAAGATCTAAGTCCAAATCCTGGGTCCACTCCAAAGTACATGATTTGAGTTCTATGGGGCTCAGTTTCCTCATCTGTTGGAAAAGGCAGCTGGACTAACTGACCTGTAAGGTAGCTCCCAGTGTCACTTGGGAGGAAGGGAAAGTGACCAGTTCCAACACTGGAGTCTAGTGGGATTAATGGGAATCAGGGAGCCTGAGAAGTACCCGTGATCCTGACCACCCAGCACTGGCTCCCTGTCCATCATTTAAGGAGGTTTGGGTTGACTAAATAAATGTCTTTCTGAAACTTACCTATGAATCCAAAGATGTATTTTATAGTTGGCACAAGGATGACCAGAACATTATTAATTGCAAGAAGTATAGCTGCAATCAGGAAATGTCTTATCCAGCTGAAGGGTCTTTGGGGAAATAGTAGTGTGGTCACTGATGTACGAATCTGCAATAAGAAAGTTCAAAGGTTAGATCACTTCTTTTTATTTCACCTTCTCTACTATTTCAAATACTCCCATCACTCAAAAGCATCTTCTTTCTTTTTCCTTTTTCCCTCAGAAAAGATCCTGATGCTTTTTTGTCCAACATTTTATTGTGGTAAAATATACAAAACACAGAATTCACCATCCTTATTATTTCTGAGTGTCCAGTTTAGTGGTATAAGGTTCAGTTATGCACCACATCACATCATTTGGGTACGGACCACATATATGACAGTGATCCCATGAGATTATGATACTGTAATTTTACTGTGCCTTTTCTATGTTTAGTTATGTTTAGATACATAAATACTTACTGTTGTGTTACAGTTGCCTACAGCATTCAGTATAGTAACATGCTGTACAGATTGGTAGCCCAGGAGGAATAGGCTATGCCTTGTGCCCTAGATGTGTAGTAGGCTAAACCATATAGATTTGTGTAATTACACTCTATGATGTTCACACAATGACGAAATAGCATAACAATGCATTTCTAGGAAGGTACCCCTGTTGTTGAGCAAAGATGATATTTTTGTGTTTACTTCTTTCTCTCTCTCCCCTTTTGCCTCCCCCCCGCCACCAGTAGATTATAAAGCCACAAAAGCAAAGAATGGGACCTAATGATCTTAACATTCCCCAAAGATTCTAGTTGAGCAATGCATGACTGGACATTCGTATTGTTGTGCAACCTGATGCTGACTTTTGATGTTTGAGATGATATCATTTTTCCTTGGTAATGCATTGTGTTCACTTTCTCAATTTTCAGAATTTTTGTTAAAAATAATCTCAGTCAGAAAGAGATAAAATAACAGGCAAAATATATAATTTAGATACACAGTAAAACCCTTGTGGGTCACTAATCCTGTCTCATTGGACTGGATTAAACCTGAAGGGCAAGCACCGAATTGATTTACACGAGACTGTGAAAGGAATTTTTACAAATCTTGGTTTTTCTTAATTTTGCATTTTATCTAACATTTTGCCACCCGATATTTTTTTAAAAGATGATATTTTTGTGTTTACTTCTTTCTCTCTCTCCCCTTTTGCCTCCCCCCGCCACCAGTAGATTATAAAGCCACAAAAGCAAAGAATGGGACCTAATGATCTTAACATTCCCCAAAGATTCTAGTTTAGTGTCTTATACACAGAAGGCACTCAATAAATGCGAATTAACTTAAGCAGTAGAAATCTTTTTCCTCTCCTCAGGATCCTTGGCAGATTTTGGCCCTATTTCAGCAGTTGAAATAAGTAGGCGAAGGGTCAAGAGAGACTTTATTTGCGGCAGCTACTCAAGTTACTCTGCTGTAACTGGATAAAGAGATCCCCATGGGCACAGTGAGGGGATGCCGTTTGTATTTGTACAGCTTAACAAAGTTGAAAACGCTCTTATCTTTGGAATCTTTTAGAGGACGCTTTTTTGATGTAGTGGAATTACTCTGTTGGCTTTTCAATAAGTGCGCACCTCAGTTAAGCTAGGAGTCCGTATTTGGGGAAAGGCTGTGTGATTCATTGTCACTTTACAATTTTAGTTCTAAGGTCTCTTAACAGCGTGGAGATAAGAACTCACTTAAAAGAGAGAAAATGTAAGATATATTCTGAAACATGTACGAACAACAAAAAATTTGAGCCAAAATTGCTTGAAGTTTCTCATGTGGCATTCCTTTCATACCACTCCACCAAAAATTAAAGCCATCTGTTTAGGTCGAAAAGGCAATTTCATTTCAGAATGACAAACCAGATAGTCTCTGGAAACAGTTTAAGAATGACTTTGCAAAGGATTTTAAAAGCAGGATTAGTGAAAATTAGGAAACTCATTCTGAAAAGAAAACTGAAGAAAGCAAATGGTTTGATGTTGTTTTCCCCAGCAGCCTTTAAATTTTATATTATGACCTGTAATTAGTGTTTATCCAATATTGTCTAAACTGCTCTAATTAGTAGGTTTAGAATAAGCTTTTGGCGATACACACATGGTGCTTCAGGACTTGCTAAACGGATGCAATAAACGAGTAGAATACAGGTTCATTTTCAGGAAGAGGTCACCATGTGCCTTTAGTCCTTTGTTAAAATGGTGCGTTCAACTCAACGCTGAGTTAGAAGCAATCCTGTATGTATGCGCAGGGCCTCTGAATGTAAATGCAGCTTCCTAAGGCCTTATGGTTCCCAGAGTACAGAAGGAGTACAGAAAGTTTATGGGAATAGTGGGGTAGAGTAGTTGGAGTAAATGGTGAAAGCTTCCTCCTCACAGTGAATAAGGAATAAGAAAATTCCAAACAGAACTGAAGCCAAATAAAGTCTCCAGTGCATTCCTGAAGAGGGCAACAGAGCAAAGAGGGAGATAGCAGGCTGGGGGTGGTGGTGGAAAAGAAGAAGGAAACTTGCCGGTTATTTCACGTTAATGTACTGCCTGAGGAGTGAGTCTGGGATGAAAAGGCCCGCAGCAGTTGTGTTAGGTCAGGACAGAGGCATCTCTGGCTCGTTACCCACGCAGCCTGGTCTGCTCTTCCACTTAGCTATGTGCCCTTTTCTTTACTGACATGAGCTGATGTGGGTCAGAGGCTGTGGGTAGGGGAAGTCCCTGGCGACAGCCCGGGCCTCTGACCCAGAATGATTCCAGAAAGTTTCTTTGCAGCCTAGAGAAAACATCTGTTATTTCCAGAGAGCGGGTCCTGAACAGAGCCTGTTAGGAGGTGCTGTGTGCTGATGTGGGGACCCAGTGTAAAGGTCAGAAATGTGGAGGCAGAGTAGAAACTGAGAGCCTTTGCTCTGAACTCTTAAAAAAAAAACCCCAAAACAACAAAAACAAAAACTCTCCTATTGCTTAGAAGTGACTCATACTTTGACTTTGCAACTTTGCTATGAGATACCTGTGGATCACTACTCTACTGCAGTACATGGCGACATCTGCTATATTTCTATGCCTGTATCTATAGAACTTCAAAACAAATCTGAAGGCTACATAAGTGAAAAGAATGATTTTACTATGACAAGAAGAAATACAAGTAATTAGAGAATCTGAGATGTAATCAGATCACATGCATGGAGGTTTGGTTCATTCAGCCCAGATCCTCACCCAGACTGAATTCATGGCACATGTCAGCGAGGGAAACAGCCCATGCTTTTGCTACAAAAAGGCAATTTATACATTTCAAAAAGAGGCAAGATCCATGTGGAGGCCGTTTTTCTTAACAAACATTATCAAGTTCACCCTCTATGCCAGTTTCTGTGCCTGTCCCCCGCCCCTGGGGACCAATGACCCCACGGGGAAGGGGATACTTACACAGATCATGTCAGTGCAGCATCACGAGGGCAAAGACAGGATCATGTGCAAAACGTCCTGTCAACGCTAGTGTTGAGTGAAAATATGTAGTGAAAGGCAGCAGTTATTTTGCTGAATTTTTGTTCTCATGGTCAATTTTGGTTTTAATAGCATCTAATGTTTACAAACTATTGCTCTTCCTGATGGTCAGTTTATACTAGTGCTTTATCTTTCATGCAGGGGAAGAATTCCTAAGGGGAGATTTGGATTTTCAACATTGAGGTGAAACGTTCACCAGTAAATGACTTTTGCTTCCCATTACGATGATTGCAGCCATCAGTGTTATGCTATGAGCTGCGTTAGTTCAACTGTTAGCAACTAGCTGTGTGACCACGGCCAAGTCCATCAGCCCTTTGAGACCACAGCACGAAAACACTGCATCAACGTGAATAAAGCAATACTGATGCACATAACAAATTTCTTTCATAAAGTGCTTTGGTTCAACAAAGATTTGCCTGCCTATTGTGTGCCAAAATTTAGTAAGTGATTTCTTTCCACATGAAAGGAAGGGCTACAGATATTCTTTTCTCGATGATGAAGTTGTTTGCTTGGAAATTTTACCCTATCGTACACCTTCTGTTTATAGCTGTCTTCTGTCTTGTACCTGAGTTAGAGCTGATTTTAGGCTAAAGCTGTGTGTATGTCATTTGAAATACTTTCAGATATATTAGAAGCAAGACATTATTTAAGAGTAAAATATTAGCCACCATAGTAATAAGGATCTGATTTCATGCACTCATGAAAAAGGAATGTGCCAAAATACACTTCAGCACACAAGCTGCATTTAAAGCCATCATACTGTCATTATATAAGTGGTCCTCATACGCCAGGCCCTGTATGGAACATTATGTACGGGACAGTGCTGGCTACTGTGTCGCTTATTTTTTTCCCCTCAAATGAATGAGTAAATTTAGTGTTTATGAAAGGAGAAGAGTTGGCAGGAGGGTGAAGAACTGTGTTTATCCATAGGTGGTGGTTTTAACTCATGCAGCCCAAATCGCCACAACTGGCCATTCTCTGTTTTCCCAGAACAAACTGACGCCAATGGCAAATGCCAAGAAAGGGTGATCCCAGTCTGAGTCTGCCAGAGAGCATGTGTCAGGTTTTTGTGGGGGGAGGTGGGTGGGTGAAAGAGATATATGATAGGTAACATAATTATTTTTTGAGAAATTGTTTCTAATATATAATTTACTTAATGCGAATCCCCTTCTCATTAGCCTTCAAGACGTCAGATTAAATAAGGTGCCTTTTGGATGTTATTGCAGCACAAAGAAATTGGAAAAAAATATGAAATGCCTTCAAAACTGTGGTGAAATTCAATATGATTTGAAAGTTAATGTGGTTTTGGCTTTCAAGTTTCAGAAGTTATATGAACTCCTACTTATTTTTACTAATCCACAAGACAGAAGCTCAAGCTCCACTTTTTAGATTTGAGTTTAAAAATAAATTTCATGATTTTTTTTCCCTACACTTTAAAAATACTTACCACCTAAAAGTACTTGCTCTATTTACATATTAAATGATCAATTTTAAGTGGCTCCAAAATACTGTATGAAAATAATAATGCCCTCAGGCACTGCAATCGCAAACTCACATTATAATTAAATCCACATCAAAGCACAGCACATGTACTAATTTTTGGGGTCAAACAGGTTTCTTGCATCAAAGCCTTAGGTACTTACTGGGAACAGGACAATGGGCACAGTTAGTGTTACTGCCACAAGGACTGCCAGGCGTACCATGAGCAGAGGGGTATCAAAGGTATACACTTTGCTGTAAGCATGAAGTAATTCATCTTCAACTTCTCCTACAGAGAGGAAGAAGGGAATGAGTTCACTCCGTGTTGTCAATTCGGCACTGGTTACTTACGGCGACATTTTATGGAGGGAACAGAGGACAGTGGAAAAGACCCAGGTCTGGTAATCCAGATACCTCTGTTCTTATCATATCTCTGAGTTTATTAGCTATGAACCTTTGTTTGAATGAACAGAGGTTTTTGAGGGGGATGAGGAGGGATGAAAGAGATTTATTATAGATAACTAATTTTTGAGAAATTTTTTCTAGTAGTAATTTACTTAATATGACTCCCTTTTTTATTAGCCTTCAAGGCATCAAATTAAATAAGGCAACTTTTGGTTGTTATTGCAGCACAACAAACTGAAAAAATTAACAAAGGGCTGCTAAAGATTATACACTTGCAGGAACAATAGAAAATGGCTTAGGTGCTTCTTGAGCTCATTTGCATCACAATGTGTACCTATCTCTGTTACAGAGAAGCATCACAAACCAGATGGGAGGCTGAGGGGTTCCTTTTGAAGGGGATGAGAGGCACAAACCACACCAGCTTGTCTCTGCCATCCTCCACCCTTCCTCTGCCCCCAACTGCCCAGCCACCCCTGGCACAGGTTCTCCAAACTCAGTATGGAAATTCTAGGACAAATGATCTCTACAACCTCAACAATTTCAACCTCAACAATTATGACTCTATCACGACACTGAAACACATATTCTAGGCTTTTTCAAGTGTTGGCTTATCTTATGAAACTCATTAGAGTAAGTATAACTAACGTACATGCAAGGATAAATTAGTATAATTTTTATAGGGTCACCCAATAAATACTGCTGTAAGATTAAGATGCTGCCCTTGAAAACATATCCATTCTGAATTCCAGACACAAATAACAAGGAGATATTTATGGAATCAGATGTAGTTTAATTTTCCCCCTCTTCCCCTCAAGATCAGACAAAAAGGGGTAAAAATACCTTCAATGGTATTGACCCTGACTTCCATTAACTCACAACCAGCAAGAAGTTAATGCCCAGTCTAAAGCATGTGCTTGGTTAATTGTCAAATATTAGTCAAATAGAAAAAAATCTAAGCACATGGTGACCTACTCCTGCGTCTTTCTTTTCCTCCCTAACTTGTCATGCAATCAATTTAATTACCAAGTCAGTCAGAAAAAAAAAATCCAAAAAAGAGAGGTTTATACAAAAAATATATTTATGTTGATACATTGATTACTGTGAACATGTGCTACCAGGTCAACGTTTGAGTCCATGAAATTCGTCTATAGGGCCACACTTCATGGAAGGAATATAGTTCTACCCCCTTTGTGGACTGTTAAGATGCCAGAGAGGAAATGTTGCAGGCATAATCTAATGTGGCCATAGTCACTTTCTTTTTTTTTGTATAGCATCCCTAGATTGAAGGAAATTATGCCATGTCCTTCTCTTTCTTAGAAAACCATTCACAATAAAAGAATAGAATGAGATAAGCCAGAAATTATACCTAATACCCCAAACCTTCAGATAAATAAGAAGCAAGTTCATACTTGAGGACTTTGTAGTGTTCTTGCCATTTGCTTGGCAGTTAGCTTCTCCATCAAAGGAGCTTTACCATATGCAATTGGATTCATTCTTGTTGCTTCTAGTCTGAACTGGGTTAAGGAGTCTAGCCAAAGAAATAGCTATCCCTGAAGGAAAATAATTTAGTTTGAAGGATATTTTTTATAAAATATGTATGAGTTCACAAATTGTAACTTGTTAGCCAGGCTGGTTCATGTCTCATTTCCTTAGGTCAAGTGACAAAGCTAAAATAGCATGTGAACTGAGGATATGTCATCTATAGATCATGCTTATAGAGGGCAATTAAAAAAGTTATACTTCGGCCGGACACAGTGGCTCACGCCTGTAATCCTAGCACTCTGGGAGGCGAGGCAGGTGGATCGCTCAAGGTCAGGAGTTCGAGACCAGCCTGAACAAGAGCGAGACCCCGTCTCTACTAAAAAATGGACAGAAATGATCTGGACAACTAAAAATATATATTTAGAAAAAATTAGCCGGGCATGGTGGTGCGTGCCTGTAGTCCCAGCTACTCAGGAGGCTGAGGCAGGAGGATCACTTGAACCCAGGAGTTTGAGGTTGCTGTGAGCTAGGCTGACGCCACGGCACTCTGGCCCAGGCAACAGAGCCAGACTCTGTCTCAAAAAAAAAAAAAAAAGTTATACCTCGACAGGTCAATGAGCAGTCTAACCAGGATTTTCACAAAGAATAACTTTGACAGAGTGACATACCATAGAAGGTTAGGTAGCCAAAGAGGGCAGCAAGCAGGTACATGACCAGCATCCCTGTGATGGAAATATTTGACACTGTTTGCATTTTCTTCTGGGACCGACTGAAAAGAAAAGAACACTGAGCTTTTTTTTTTTTTTTAACTTATGAAAATATCACTTTTTAAAATTAAAATTAAAATAATTTTAAAAATATGTCTGTATCGCTCATTATGAAACCACATTTCTAGTACATAAACTTATAGCTGATTTAAATTTGTCTTAGAGAGATAATGAGGATTTCTTTCCATTTTTCTTAAACACTATTCCTTTAGTCTTAGAAACAACCATTTCCCTATAAAAGGAATGGTATATTTCATGTCAATAAGTAATCTTGTTTACTGAGTAATTAAGAATGCAATCAACATAATGATCAAATTGGTTTCTAATGTAGACAGCTTTTGAATTTCATGATGAGCTGACTTTAGTAAGGAAAAGAACCTATTAGGATCAGCAAAGCAACTACTACCAAGAGTTTAGACAACCAGGAAGCCTGATGTTGTTACCTGAACAGCTTCTGGAAATCATTCTAGAGGGCACTCAGCTGTCTAAGGTCAATTGTCAGCCTTCTAGAGTAATGGCTGCATGTGATTTTCAAAGTAAATCAAAGACATCAAAATAATTGGAGTGTACCAAAAATTTTTTATGAGATAAATCAGAATTTGTGGGTAAAGGGGTCACTATTTAATGAGAATGAAGGCTGAGGTTACTGATTTCTGGATTAAAGAAGTGGAGAATTATTTCATAACACCATCCCTTAAAGGTAAAGAGGGAAGCTGCTATAGTGAGCTCATACCCTTTGTCCCCAAGCAGATGTCAACAATCTAAAAGGGAAGAGAGTATGAATAAATCATAGACCATCAGCTGGAAGAAAAAATATTTTCTAGCCAATGTCTCCATTATACAGATAAGACAATGAAGTCCAGATACTGGTATATCTCTTGCAGTGAACATCTTCTAGACAATGGTTAGGAACTGACCATGGATGACATCAGTGGCTTATCAAGGCTGCCCTGACCATAATTTTTGGTCTTCATGGGTGTTGTCATTTCCTGTCCAGATGACATCATTTCTTCCCACCAAAATTCAAATGTAAATTCCCCCAAACTTCCCAAATCATTGCAACCATTCGCTCCTTGTCCCTCTTCCCTGAACCACTCCCCTGAACCATTATAGTGGAGAGATGGAGAGAAGGAGGCAGGTGAGGTATTGATAACTGGATGTAGCACAAACTTTCTCTGAAGAGAAAGCTACAAACCATGTTTCCTGTTAAAGCACCTTTGAACGTATGAGCAGATTGTCAAAGCAAATTAGAATGCTAAAATGATGGTTGCCTTACTCTTTAAGTTCACTGTAGATGGGAAGGACCTCAGGGTGGCATACAAAAGCAAATGCTAGGATGGGAATTGCATAGGCCGTCTGAAAAACAAAGACAACACCACATGTTTAGCATTCCAACACAGATGGCAATCTTGGGCCATCTCAGTTTGTGAAATAAAAACCCAGAGGCCACATTACTAGGCTCATTAGAGGTCCGGGCCTCTCACTTACCCGGGAGTTGAATACGAAGTATTTGGGTTGACACTTATCATCACTATGGGCTTCATACTTGACTCCACTGTCATGAAGAGAGCCCTTGGCCTGGTTCTCATCCAGCCCTGCAGGACTGCGGTGGGTGTAATCCATCATGAAGTTCACATCAGCACTCTCAGAGTTGTTGGGTAACATTACCACGTGCATTGGAAGTGTGTTGTTGAATGTCACATTTTCAACATTGTGATCCAGAACGGGCAGAGGGCAGGGTATTTGAAATTTCTTGTAAATCACCTAGACCCAGTCATAAAAAAAAAAAAAAAAAAGTCAGCCTTTTGAAGAAAACCAATGAAATAAGAATCTATATGTGTGGCTTATGAGGTGGGGGTGAGGGAACTCAGCTGGGGATTCCTCTGAGACTAATGGACAGGGGAGACTCCCCTCGCCTCTGTCCTAAGTAGAGAGTTAGAGCTACAGTTGGCAGCCCTGCCCCTTAGAGTCAACAGGACGGTACTTTGCCGGAATCCATCCCAAGCCTCTTTCATGCTGTTCCCTGAGAAAGGTGATCATTTCCTTGCTAATTTCATACCTTTTATTTCTTCAAACTAATTATGGCATGGGTCACCAAAAATTTTCTACTTCTTTATCTCTTTGGGAAAATTCTTTATACATTTTGGCATTCATGATAGTGCAAGAAATTCCCCCTTTGGGCAGGGATGGGGAGAAGAGGATTTCTTTAATTCCACTGTGGTTGCCTTCTCTTAACAAGTAGAATGTATGAAAGAGGATGGCTGATTCACGTGCATATGGTTATAGCCTACTTGTCTCTCTTTTGGACTCTTCGCTTCTTCCTCCATCTTTCTAAGTACTGGGTTATTGTTATGTTCCTGCCTGAAGTGTTCCTTTTGTCCAAAAATATACCCATTATGCCTAGAATATACCATTAGCAACAGTGTTGGCATTTGAACTCAACTATTTTTAAACTCATGGCTGTTCTTTGCTCATCCCAAATTAGAATACCATAAAATCACTTGTGATCCAAAAACTATTTCATGCTAGTGACATGCTTTAACAAAAATGAGAACACTAATTCAGGCACAAAAAGCATCTCATGCTCACCAAGCTACAAGGATCATGTCAACACATCACTTACCACACTGACAAAAAACACCATGCAGGTAAGAGAAAATCCGCTGGTATAACCAAGGTAACCTAGGAGTTAGCAGAAAAATTTTGGAAGGTGAATATGGTATCTACAATCGGCTTACCTATTAGAATATGAAATGAAAATAAAAAATTTGCAATCAGAAAATATTTTTACCTAAATTTTTAAGAAGAGAAAGTGGAAGAATAATTCCAACAGACACAAATATGACGAGGTAGTTGCCATCGAGGTACCATTCTCTAGACCAGAAAGAGAGACAAGGATATTAGGATCAGAAAAGACCAAGTAGAATGAGTCATTTGATGTCACAGAGGAAACATAAGACATACCCAGTATTTTCTTCAAGTCCCATGAATGCTCTGATTACTTCAGGTAGTTCATATTTAATGATAAAAAGGTAGCTTGACATTGCTAAAATGGAAAATGTGACAGCTTAGTGGCGTGCATGGCACTGAAGTCATACGCAAGTTGTGAGAAGTCATGACATTTGAGGCTGCTATTCTCTGTCAGATGAGCATCTAATCCCTCAAATGGAAAGAAAAGCCACTGTGTATTCTGCACTCTTTCCAAGTTCTTTTCAAAAATAGACACTTGGCCCCTTAGCTCTTGCAGGTGGACATTTGCTAACAGTATCAGTGCTGATTCTGTGTAAATCCAGCTATCAAGTTTACAATGAGGCTACAGCTTCAAAGTTTTACCCCCAACAGTTATAAATCATCATGGTCTGTACCGAGTATGCCTGTTTTAGTGTCTATAACTTGGACAAAGGTCTGGGAACAAGAGGCACGGGCCAGACGAGAGAGACAGAATCATAGGCAGAGCTGTGGAGCTGTCACTTTCTGCAGGTGAGAACCAATCTAGTCCTCCGGGATCCCCCCGAGGGGCACAAAATGTCTCAGACCACTCGTTGCTGAAAATTAGTCTTCCTGAACTGCTAAAGGAAGAAAAGACGGTAGCTAGTTTCTCCCCCTCTTTGTCAATGAAGTTTCTTATCCCCCCTCCAAATCCTACTCTCCTTTTGACTAATTAAGAAATTATACAAGGTGTTAAAATTTCATGAACATCTAGGTAAGTGATATATGAGTGATCATGTACTCTTTTGAAAATCCGATGAAATCTATAAATGCTCTCCCTGGAAAAATGAATATGTACACATATGATTAACATTACGATTTTGCCTAAAATTGTGAAAATTTATGCAACACCCTTTTCTCAAGTCCATCCATTCAGTGAAGTATAATACTAATTTGTTATTTGACACATGGTCAAGAGATTCAATTAAAAATAAAACTAGTAAGTTTTACATCGAAATTTTAAGTATTTGCTACATCCTGCTGGTGAATTTTTGCTAACAGACATCTAAAACAGATACCTAGGTTGTAAATTGAACTATTAATAGTTTAAAATATTTTCTTAACTTCAAATGAAGGTAATAATGGTGATAATAATTCTCCACATTGTTTAGTTCTGTACATTACTTCATTTGATCATCTGAAAAACCCTGTGAGATGACAAGGAATATATGTTATTATATTCACTCTTCAGCTGAAAGTCTAAAGATTTTGAAAGTTTAAATGACATGTCCAAGATCACACAGCTTGACAAGGATAGACCACATCTAAAACACAAGTTCCCTGACTCCCGGTCTGGTACTTCTTCTCTATTGTCGAAGTAAAATGATTTTTACAATGCCTGATGTGTCTTCTGTACACATTATTTGGTTAATTTTTACAAAGACCTTGGCTAAAGCTAAATCTTACAGCACGTAAACAGAGGAGATATTTCCGATTAACTGGCTCAGTGAGGTACCATTCAATGTTAGAGCTATTAATTGCTGACTCTCAGTGATGTCACCACTGTTAATGTGTTTGGTCTTCGAAAAGTCAGAATGATCCAGACCAGTCCGAGTAATGTCAACAGTATTCTGCTAATGTTAAAACATTTGCGGTGAATGTTCATTTTTTAAGGGATTGAGAAAATTAAATGTTCTAACTGTGGAGTTGTTAAATACAGAAATACAAATGATTTCCCTTATGCCAAATATGTACTAATTATATAGAATAAGCAAAGTAAGAGCATTTTCTGGGATGGTATTAGGAAATTTCATCTCATTTCCTTAAAGTCACACTTCTCACTTGTAGGTGGCTTGACTGAGAGACCACTTTATAGTTTATTCCATTATTTAGAGGCATAATAGTGGCGGTACTTTGAACCAAAGATACTGCTGCTGCCACTCAGCTAGTTGAGTTCAGGGCTACATATGCTTATGCCTGGTTATTTCAGTTGTCAAAACAAGTAAAGTAGATCAACTATGAGGTGATCCTGTAAAATGCTTGATACTTTAAATCTTGATAAGGCTGAGAATTTGAACCAAATGTAAAGCAGTGTATTTGATGGAATTCGGGGGGCTTATCTGCTTATTTATTGCAGCATTGTTTGCAATAGCAAAAAATTAGAAACAATCTGACTGTTCAATAAGGATTCTATAAACCAATTATGGTACGTTTGTATAACAGAAAATTCAAAAGCCATTAAAAGGAATGGCATGCAAATATATTCAAGGCGTATCATTAAATTTAAAAAGCAAGCTGGAAATCAGTATTATAAGACGATCCAATTTTAACAATACCAATATAGTTGTTAAATTAGACATAGGAGAAAACCTATAAGTAGTTATTTCTGAGGGTGACTTACATAAGCTTTCCTTGGTAATTTATATATTTATGCAATGTTTTAGTTTTTCACAATTAGCATATATTTCTTTTATAATTATAAAAATGCCCATTTAAAAAATAATCAGGGGGTCTCCAGAGACGTGGATATTGATGCAGAGAACCAGGGAGGAAGGAAGCATGGACTGAACCTTATTATGTGCCATTTGTTTTCTTCTTTTATCCTCACAATGACTTTGTGAGGATGAAATATTACTGTCATTTCTGCAGATGGAAAAATTAAACTCAAAGGAGTAAAGTGATTTTCCCAAAGTCACAGATAGTGACAGAAACAGACTCAAATTCAGATGTATCAGACTCCAAAAACTTATTCTCTACTCAAGAGTTTTTAAATGTCTTTTAAAAAACAGTAACATGCCAGATGCATACAAACAAGGCCAAGAGAGCCCAGAGGAGCTAGTACCCAACAGCCTAGAGAAGCCATGGACCAGGGTAAGGGATGGAGGGAGAGAGAGAGAGAATATGTGTGTGTGTGTGTGTGTGTGTGTGTGTGTGTGTGTTAGAGTTCAAGAGACATTCAAAGAAGGCATAGAGGATTTTTTAAAACATTAAAATAATATCATTGGGGGACTAAATATAGTTTGTTAGGGTTTGGCACAGGACACATAGGGGATAGAAGATAGGTAGATGATATGGGCATTTACAGGAAAGGTATAGAAATGTAGGTAGAAGAACATGATGAAGACTTTTGTGTCAGGCCAATAAGTTTAAGTTTTTAAAAATAATTAAAAATTATTGGTTATAATTAATAAATTATAAATAGACTAGAATGAGGATATGCTGAAGAATTTTATACATGAAAGAAGCAGGATTGGATTTGAATTTGAGAAAATGTATTGGGAAGATGCATTGGAGATAGGAATAGGGGAAACTCAAGGCAGGGAGACCAGTTAGAAAATTACTGCAACAGTTTGAGTTAAAAAAAAAAAAAAAAGTGATCATCTATGGTCATGCGGATGGAAGGAGAGGGGAGAGTCAAGAGATAAGGAACAGATCAAATGGACGGGATTGGGCATTTGATTGGACTTTCAGGGTCAGGGAAACAGGAAAAAGTTCAGGCTGACATCCAGATTTCTGGCTTAAAAAATTGGATGGCTGCGGGTGGTATTCATTGAGAGAAGAAAGAACAGAGAAATAAAATAGCAGGTTTGGGGACTGGGTAGGAGGTGAGGAAATAAGTGCCACCATGTGGGGATACACTTGGTGCCATGCAGCAGGACACAGGACATCTGCACTATGGGTCTGGATGCCTTCTGAGGGTCAAAGACACACAGAATGAGTGTGAAGCTGCTGGTAGACAAACATGCCATCTCCAACGCTGCTAAAAATACATATTTCCAGGCTCTAGCCTTGAAAGTATAATTCAGTAGGAATTATAAGAATCTGTAGAACCAATGAATCTGTGGTTTATAGTGTTTCTGATGCCTAGCCAGAGTTTTGCATTAGTACAACTTCTAGCAACACTCTCCAGAGGGCTGGCTCTGTGCAGGCTGTGTCTCAAGGACCACACGGCATTTGGCTGTGTCCCCCTACTGCGTCCCAGACACCTACTTTTCAATTTTATGGAAGGAAATCAATCATACATATGAAACATCCACTGTTCTGGCAATGACAGCAATAAACACAAATGCTTTAATTTTTAAAAGTAATAATGCCATAACAGCATTAAAAAATCAAGAAAGCTTTTATTTTATATTTTAACTCTAGAATTCAATTGGTAGGGTTTTATATATTATTTCATTCTTAGATATTGCTATTGTTAATTAAAGAAGGACAGCAAATCTATTTAAGAAACTTTATTTTTAAAATCTGAGAACTGTAAGGAAGTAGCTATTTTTCTGTATTTAAAGTGCTTGCTCATTGCCATAAGACTTTTCTTATTTGCTGAACATTCTATGGAAAGTTTAAGTGATCCATGAAAGCTATATCACCCTTACCTCCAATGTTCTGCATTGTAATGGAAATAAAAGCTGCGATTTTTCCAGGCCATCCAAATGCCTTTTCCCCTAATTTTTCATAAATTAAAGACCCTACAATCAAAGATAAAATAGCCATGTTAAACAGACTATATTAATGACTATACTATTTCTATAATATAATTCTACACTGGAGTCTCAAACATGTAACTAGACATCATATAGAAATTATAAACCCCAAAGATGCAACCTCAAAACCCATTGAGTAATATGTTAAAATGTTCTTCAAACAAGAAGCAATGGCTTCATTCATTTCAGCTGCATGTAGCAAGTCAAATGGTTATTTCTATCAACTACTAAAAGGTTCTTTTTTTCTATTTAGCTTGAACATGAGCCTCTCACTTGCACAAATAACTAAAAACATTGAGAAACCATGTCACTGAGGTCAGAAGAAAATGAAATGTGAAATTAACTAAAATCATCCTAAGGTTATCAAGTTATAGACTGAAATACTTTTATGAGATTCAAAACAGAATATCTTAGATTTAAGGGGTAATGTACCTCCTTCCTTGGCTGTCTTCAATAAAAGGTGAACTGAATAGAGTGATAATATTGCCACAGCAAGCAGCATGATTCTGTAAAGGGAACAGAGAGTAGATAATAAAGTTTTTATAACAAATAAGACATAATAATATTAGATGTTACAGTAGATGACCACATTGGTCTTTTTAATCACCAACTTTCCAAAAGTATGTGGATTTTGGAAGCTGAGAGATTCTTTTCAGAACTCCACATATACCCTTTAATGTCACAGAACTGGAATTTGCTATATTTTACAGGCCCAAACCTACCATATGAAGTTCCTAACAAATATTTTTTAGTGTTACTCAATTGTAGAATCTGGTTCATAGCTTAGATGCTAAGTGTATAGCAAAATTAGCAAATACTACATCTCCTTACTCAGTATATGGGTATATGTACACCACATTTGCATGATCTTCATATCAACATTTAGAACTGAAGGGCTATTCAACAGCCTGACTAAATCTTAATCTAAAATCTAGGAATCCAGAAGCCAATGCATGCAAAATCTGAGCTCCATTACTATTGATACTACATTAGGAGCAAGGTACTGTGTCAACCAGAGGATCAGGACGTTGCATATGTAATGAAGAAGGCAGAGAAAGGTAAATATAGGGGGCAGGAAAATTCCTCTGTTGTGTTCAGAAAGGATCAATTTTGGTGTCAGGACCCTCTGCATGTCCACATGCATGTACAGTTTTGTTATGTTTATACTGATCAGTATTTCTCCCAAACCAAGAATTGGAGCACAAAAATAAGAGCGCAGATAAAACACGAACATAATAAATAAAAGAACAACACTTTTACCTGAAATTAAAAAAAATCTTTCTTTGTTTATTTTACGTGATAAGAACACACTAAACGTTTTCTCCACAACTGATCTAATCCTTTGGTAATTCCCAATGAAATAAACGTTATATATAACCAGGAATTATAAATTTTATAATCCAACTATAGTGTGCTCTTATTTTCCATAAAATATGTCTGTCGGAACTGTTTAACCAATGACTTATTCCTATATTTTTCCTATGTATTTAGCTATTTTTAAAGAATAAAGAGCATTCCCTGTATTTTTAAACATGTACTTGCTTTGGCAGAAAATACTAAAAGTAGAACCAATGAAATACTGTGTTATTTGCTGTGAATTAAGGGAGAAAACTGAATCCAGTCTGTGCCTCTTTGACATATAAGACACACACCATGATGTTTGGCAATGTAATTGCTCTGGCTAAATTAATCTGTTAAATGTTTATAGCCCTGAAATGAGGTTCTCGTTTTAAAAGTGGAATATTCTCCTCCTATGAAAATGATCTATGCCTCTAGGATTTGGGGAAGTGTCTTCTATTTCTATTCATCAGTTATCTATGATAACTTTCATTAATTTAAGTAGTATGTATAATTAATAAGGAGAAAGCAGTCTTTTTGTCTTAGATACACTTTACAAAAGCATACAAATACATGAATACATCTCTAGCTATTATGATCCAAATAATAAAGAAAACCCTACTTTATTTCAAACATGGTTTATAAAAGTCGAGTTATAAAAACCCATTCATCTAAAGAATATTCGACATAAAACAGTTCAATCAAAGCCCTAACACAATATAAATATTTATAGTCCTGATCCTTGGCCCCGAAATAGCCGTGTGACTATCTAATCATATGTGATGTTCAGAACATAAATAGCATATTTATACAATGTAAGTGTTGCATTCTTAGACCATTCTTTAACTCTCTAGCATTACATTTGGAATTAGGATCTGCGTCGACACTGATGCCAAATATTAGACTTTATTCTTGTGAAGAATTCCACTGTTCTCAACTACGTCTCAGAAAATACCGGGCTGTACATAATGGACATGAATGTCTGTGGTTGTCTGTCACAGAAGACCCGGTATCTATCCCATAGATCAGCTATGACTAACTGTTACCCTTAAGTCACCTGACCAAGTTAGGTGAAGGTGCACAAGTTTGGGAATAAGCTTCGATCACTTAACAAATATTTCCTATGCCAGGCACTGTGCTAGGTCTTGGGGATTGAGAAATATGCTGAGTAAAAACAGACATGGGCTCAACTTTATCTAAAGTTTATAATGTAGCAAGGGAGATAAATGTTAACCAAATGAATCAGACAAATGCCTACAATATCGAAACTGTGGTGAGTGTATAATAAGGTGATTTCCCCAGTCATGGAGGTCAGGGAAGGCAGGTGAAGCCGGGCTGAGATGGGAGGAGTTACTAGATGAAGGAGAAAGGGAAGAAGTTTCCAAGACCATGTGAAAAGGCCCGGTGGTGAGAGGAAACGTGGCATGTTCCCGCGATGGAGAGAAGGCTATTGTGCCCAGTGTATCTGTCACAAATGGGCAAAGGGAATGGGCCTGAGGCATGCGGGGTTCTTCAGCCTGATTGGAGATGGGGATTTTTTTCCTAACAGTGAGATAAAATCAGATTTGCTTCTGGGAAAGATCTTTTGACTGCTAAACACCAAATATTTCAAGTCTACTAAACAATGAAATACTTTGTAAAATGACTCCTATGGGCTGGCAAGGCTGCTCCAGCACTTTTGGGGGTTGAGCATGTAAACTTTCTATCATTTGGTTAGGGATAGTTGGGTGAGCAAATATGATTAGACTGCTCTGATTTTTCCTTAGGTTGCTATTTTATCTAAAAGCAAGAGGAATACACTAGTTCTTTCTCAGATTCTCCATGCTCACAAAGATCAAACTTCGGATTGTTCATTGAAAGAGCATCAGGTATGCATGGACTTCCTTGCCAAATGTAGATATGTACATTCACTTACATAAAAAGTATGATCCCCGTGTTGGCCATGGCATAGGACAAGCCCAAGATTCCACTGCCCATGATGGCATTACTCAGGTTGAATGAAGACATTCCAAAGGAGGTGGTTCCAGGGTGCTTGAAGAGAAAGGAAGGCTTTATAAGCAAACATTTGCCAAAGGGTAAACTTTTGGGGAATTATTCTTATTCTTACATTATTTTTAAGGAAGGAGATTACAGTCCCTACTTGAAGACTAAGATAAAATCACAATGAGTAGAAGTCATTATTCAATGTCAATAAAAGCATGTAATTTTCAATGGAATGTAGGGCTTGGTTTCAGCAGAGGTCTCGGTAAAAATAAAAAATACAAGTGGAGTAACACAAAGAAGGGAAAGCATGTATGATTGCAGATTACATTTGGGTTAGAATGATTTCTCCAAAAAAACAAATAAATTTCATAAATGATTTATGCAGCCATATGGCGAACAGGAAAAACAAGCCCTTATTCCAGTAAGGGCCTAAATAAACAGAGAATGTGCTGATCAAGGCTTGGAAAATTTCAGTCACATTGTTTTCCCCCAGAGGTCTAGGCAGATCAGACACCCTCAGTCCTGTTTATCACCTAAAAGCATAGATTCACTTACATGTTCATCGCCATAATCTGCCAGTTTCTTTTCCCCAAAAAATCCATTTGTCAGGAATTTCTGACTTTCAGCATCTTCATTGGCAAATGGACTGAAGACACACACACAAAATAAGAAAATAAAAACATCTAAGTAAATGCTCTGAATCATAATTTATGTTTCAAGTGATCTAAGTAACTAAATTAGGGGAGGAAAAATAAGACATGTAAAATTGTTTTCCTCTCCTCTTCACACTAGTGGTTATTCCAGACCAATAACTGAGCTCCATTTACAAATATACTTTGGGAGAGAGAAAGGACATTATGAAGGAAGGAAATACTAATTTGAAAAAATTTCTGTGCCACATTTCTTCCTTCCCACATTACCGATGCAAGAAAGAGACTAATTAGGACTAATTTTGTTCCCATTTAGAGCCCTTCCAAAGAAAGGGTCCAGAGGCATGAGTCTGAGTTTTCTGAAGTACTTACTACCATACCATAATCAGATGATTTTATGAATTCAACAAATATTTATTAAATGCCTGGGCACTGTGATACTTATCTCATTTGGTGCTCAAAATATTCCTATGAGAGGAATTTTCATGTCCTTACTCTAAAGATGAGGCAGCCGTGGCTCAGAAGAGTGAAGTAGCATCCCCACATCCACACGACTCCAAGTTTGTCATTTTCCACGGCATCAAACAGCTCCAGGCATGGCCCTGTAGCTGGTATTTCCCTCTTTTCTGGACTCCCTCTGTTTGTACATATATCCCTTGTAGGAAAGTAGTTCAACGATTGCTCTGTGTTGTGTTTGGTTATGTGCATGAGTGTGTTTTAATTATTGTAACCCAAAATGTACTTGGGTTATTATTAGATAATGGATAAAGCTAAGGAAATTATTAAAGCAACCCAATGAATTAGCAGAAGCATTGGGAGGGAAAGGAGGCTTTAAAATGTCACTATCCACAGAACTTGTGATTATGGTCTTCTTGGGCACAGGCTGGAAGCTGCACAACTGGGTCACGGTGCCACCCCCTAGTGTGCTGCTCAGCTCCTGCAGTTACAAGCCAGAGCCTTTGAGTCTATGGCCTTATGACCAGCCAAATTTCCAAAAGGCTTGACTAATGAGGCCTGCTGCCATCATTGCATTTTTATACTGCAAAATATCACACCGAATTCTTGTTATATAAAATGCTCAATTATATATGCTTCTAAACGTGGTTTCAAATTAGATAGATTACAATTTTTTTGGACATTTCTTACATGAAAGAGTAAGATACAATAACTGAAGAATATTTTATTAAAATAATTGTTAGAAATAAAGTAGAAAAGAATTATTATAGGAAATCGGTACAAATTACTTTTTATAATAGGAATACCTGGTGGGAAAGAGGGATGGCTGGGTTACTTTTTGAGAAAAGAGAACAATAAAAGGTATAGACAGAAATAGCAGACAAAACCACAAAGTTCTATGTACTTTTCTAGAGCTCAAGGAGCAAATAGCACTGAGTATACAGGTAAGAACATTTCCCGGCCTTCTCCCCCTATGTCTCATGGAAAACATAATGCCCTCAGTTGTGGCCTTCCTCAATTTCCAGACACCCCTGCCTCCTTTCTGTGATTTACTGTAATAGTCTGTAGTTAATATACTTGCTATGTGAAGACTGGTACATAATATTTGCTGTTGGAAACTGAGACAATAGGATGAAATGAAGCCTAAAAAGGCCTATAAAGGACTACAAAAACAGAAGTGTCACCTGGAATTTGAACTCTGGAATGTCCAACACTCCATTTTTTCCCTTTAATCAATAAACTAAAATTTGTATTCCATGAGCAGTTTTTAAAATTTAGAATTTGAAAGTAAATAGATTTTCTTTCTGAGGCATTTGCAAGTTCTTATTTTGGCATGAGATGAGTTGTCGTCATAAAACATGCCAAGATTGTATAAAATATATGAGAAATGTCCCCAGTGTGTTAAATGTTTTGATACCAAACCTAGCATATATTGAAAACATAACTATAATGATCTCAAATAAATACATTATGTTGAATTTCTCAAAAATTTACATCTAAGGGTTTAATCTAAACCAAACATAGACAAAATCCATATTTTTGAAGTGACTATAAAATTGCAAACTGATGGCCCATGTTTAGGCCAGGAGTTAAAAGGGAAGTCACTGTGAGTGGCCCAGAACACACTGTGTGGAGCATAACAAAAGCATTGTTGCTCTTGCCATTATGGCTTTGTGAGGATCCAATGGAATGACTCTAGGACAGTTCTTGGAGAGTGTCCCCTTCAGCTTAGCCAACGTCTGTGAGCCCAAAATTGTGTACATATCTCTCAGAAACAGCAGACTCCTCAGATTTGGATCAATTTACTAAGGATAATGAAGTGAAGGAGAAAGAACAAAACTTTATCGAATATCATCTATATTCCAGGCACTAATTTTATCCTTGTAAAAGTAGCTATTGGTTTGCTATTCTACATTTTCCACTGAAGCTCAAAGAAGACAAATATTGTCTCCAAAGTCAGGTAACTACCCTGCAGATTCCAAAGCCCTGTGTTCCACCACACTGTGTTTTCTCAAGAGTCACCTGATTTAGAAAATGCCACATTCACATCTCAGTGGCCTCTATAGCCCATCAACCCTAAAGTTCATGGCCCTGAGCCCAAGTAGGAGGAAGAACAGGGCTTCCTCATGATGGCCTTTCCTGGATGTCATGAATGAAATGACAAGTCCTTGTCTGAGGATAATACTCTCTACTTCAAGCCTAGATTCAGTCAAAAATTCCCTTTGGAGAGTCTTAAATCATGCACAATTTGTGTTATGTAACATTTTGTGAGAAATTAATTTACTTATCAAATAACTATTGTGTACCTACTGTGGTTTGTGGTGGACCACAGAGGCCATTAAGCTGTTGTAGTGGTGTGATTAACATCTGAGCAGGGAAAGGGTGAACAAAGGAGGGGTGGACATTTCTACATGGGGGAGTAAAGGTATTTGAGCTAATTCTTGAGGGATGAGAGGTGGCAATAGAGAGACAGGGGAAGCAGGCAAGTGATTTGCGAGTGACTGCAGGCAGGTGAAGGAGAATGAGCCAAGGCAAGAGGGTACGAAAGGGAGCAGGGCGAGAGGCAGGACAGGAGAGGCAGGCTAGGGACAGATCCCAAAGGGCCTTCCATGCCAAGCAGTGTATATTCTAACCTTTATCTTATAGCTAATGGGGATGTGTGGAAGGACTTTATCTAAGGATGGAATATTATTCGATCTGCAATTGTAAAAGATTGCTCTTGCAGGAGTGTGGAGGCCTAGAGGGAGGAGAGCAAAACGTAAGACAGGGAGACTAATCAGGGCTGTTCTAATAGACAGATGAGAGAGGATGAGGGCAGGGTAGAGGTAGAGGACAGAGTGAGAGAGAGGGTAAGACAGCAATAGAATGGATGCCGAGGAGAGGGTGGATTTGAAACATTAATGACCACTGCTGCATGGGTCAGAGTTGACATGTAGGGTCTTTTGATTGAGATGTTGAATGATAATGATGATTTTCACTAGGATGGGGATTATTAGAGGAAGAGCAGGTTTTGAAGGAATGAGAGGAGTTCAATATCAGGCATTGCAAGTTTGACTTTATAAATGAGCAAATTCAGACACATTAGTCGTCCAGTAGAGATGTACAGTAGGCAGTTGAATATAATGATCTGAAATTTGGTTGAGAAACACGCTGAGAATATGGCATATATTCAGTGAGTGAGGCCAGGATAGCTGTGAATGAGCTTGCTCAGAGGACACTTTTAGAGAGAAAAGAATCTCCACAGAACCCTGGAGATGTAGCAACATTCAAAGGGCAGTCAAAGAAAGAGGAATCTGAGAAAGAATAGTAAAAAGGTGAGAGGAGTGACAGGCTAATATAATTAAAATTATCCTACATTACTAATGGGAATAAAGACACTGTATCCTCAATTCTAAATTAGTCACACGAGGGATTGACATTATTACTGTATTTCAAGATCAGGGAATTGATGTGTTAACATCAATGTTATTGTTATTTCCAATTTATCCCTAATAAATCCAGTTCTTTCCAATGAGAACCTTGTTTTCCATGTTCATAAACCAGTTTCATTTTTTCCATAGAACCGGGTAATTTTTAACCGCATACCTGCTCATTGCTGCCTTTTCTGAATTTCCCATTCCGGTGTAGATATCCGGAACGCTTTCTCCACTGCTGCTCTCATCATCTGGTTCAATGTTGACATTTCTCAGTTCCATGGGATCCATTTGAGCTGTCAGCGCTTTCTTGTCCACACACAAGCCCCTTCAGTGTAAATAATATACTGTACCTTCAGCTGAGGCTCTTCCACTTTGTGTTGATGTTCAGAACACTCTGTTCTGCAAACAGAACACAAAATAAATCATTTTAATTTTCTTTAAATTAGATAAAATGAATATGAATCACCTACTTTGTGTAAGCTCTCTGTAAAACATGAAAAGGAAGTGAACTCCTGAAAACTTCACATGAGTATGTCCTGAAAGTTTCCCTTAGCCAATACAAAAGAGAAAAAAAAAATGAAAACAAAGAAGTAAAATTACTAATAATTGCTAAACCAGCAGATATTTATAAAGTGTCTATGTATAATGAACATGGCAGATGCTTTACTAGTCACTATGGAAAGAAAAAGAAATCTTAAGACATGGAAGCAGTCTTTAAGAAAACTTAGGTATTTAAAAGTGGAGTACATATTTTAAAAGAAAGAGAGACAAAGGTAAATTGATGGATGTTGCAATACATTAAATCTACCAAGGCGGAATCGATCCATGTCTCTGCTAGTAATAACTGGAAAGAAAATTACTGCTTTAATTTAATTGACATGAAAGAATTAACACTACCCAATGCTTAATAATATGCAACACAGGGTAGGATCAAGCTTAGACAGCCACTTTTTAGGCACTTGGATCCTGAAGCTCAAGTTAAAAATGGTAACAAAAGAAAGTGCAGGTTTACTTTTAAATCAGTATCAGTCACCATCTATATGAAATTAAAATGTATTTTAACAACTAAGAAATCCAGCTTTTAGGCTCTGCCTTTAACTCATTGCACAAGTCATTTAACTTTTTGGACCTCATTTTCCTAAATTGTGAAGTGAAAATGGGTGGACTGGCATTGTGTTTTAAAAAATGCCAAGAATTCATTATATGTTATTGAAACGATTTCTTCTGAAATTTTTACTATTAGATTCATTCAATTATTTTGAAACATTATATTAGGAGAAACACTATCACTCTTGAAAGGTGTGGTTCTGAAATTTGTACTATCCATTCGATAAGAAAATCCTGAGCAGAGAAAGGAATATAAAAATTGCTCCAGAAGTAACGAAATCTATAAATCTCCTGACAAACAGAAACTACCACATGTGAATGCCTCCACAATCCAGTGCCGTGGCAGTACATCTGTGGAAGACAACTCACACTTGAGATAAGTTCACAACTCCAAATCACAAAAGTTACAAAACACACATGGAAACTCACTAGTATGAGTGTCAGTAGGCATAAGAAATGATAAGAGTCACACCTGAGGAACTATAAATAACAAAGCAATTTAAAAGGGACTTTTAAGTTAATGTAATAAAAAGATTTCGAATAGGAGAGTAACATCCATAGAATAAAAACATTATAAAAGAAGAACAGGCTAGTGTGAAAAAAGAGCCAAAAATGAGGTGGTGGGGGGAATTCTAAAAATAAAAAATGGAGTCATTGAAATAAAAAAAACTTAGCTGAAGGGAGAGTTATAAAACTGGAAAGTCGATCTCTGGAAATCACTCAAATTACAGTATAAAGAGAGATAAAGAAAGAAAAACATGAAGAAGTTAAAAGACATAGGGGAAAACAAAAATAAGAATACACTAATAGTTATTTTACTATGAGAGAATTGTGGGACTAGGAAGAGACAAAACAGAAAGAGACAGTAGTAGAGAATTGTCCAGAAATGAAGAAAAACAATAGTTTTCAATAGTTCTCCAGATTTAAAAAAAGACACAGTGTTTCAAGCAGGAGAAATAAAAATGAATCTATTCATAACGTGGTCTAAGTGCATAACATAAAATATCAACAGAAAAAACTTAAAAACTACCAGAGAGGATACAAGTAAGACATGCATACAGTTAAAAGAAAAAATAGAAACTCATTAAATGAGTATAAAGGTTTTCCTCACCTATCACACAGTACCAGTCTCACTTCTCAGCAGCAACCACTAATGATAGTTTCTGTTTTTAGTTCTTCATTTAAAGTTAGCCATTCTAAATTTAAATAATTCACTAAAACCTCCCTGACTTGGTTTACTGACTTTAGACTGGTACTTGTGAAAGACAAAAAATTAGCATAATTTTTTCCATCCTCCTCCCCCCACACTCCTATTTTAGTTAATGAAATATTTTTACAATGTTGAGAATCATAATATTTTCTTCCTTTTCTGTAACAATTAAGTCTTCATAAATTGTCTGTAGATTGTTTCTAAATATAGAAAATCTTATCAGCATTTACAACATTATGATTGTATAAATAGTATGCCCTGAAGAACAAAGTGGTAGATTTGACTACTTGATAAATGAAATATAGCCCTCTATTATCAAAACTTTGAAAGCGAATTTTCCATCCTCTTTTACTTTCTGAATGGCTTTCTCTTCCAACCTCTGGATCTTGCTCAATTACTAATGGTTCTTGAATGTCATTCCCTCTTCTTTCTTCAAGTCATTTGGCATTATGCTGGAATATTGCCTTGAATAACTTTTTCTCACACAATGAACCTATGTTTATAAACAGGATTTCTGAGTTGTTTCATGCCAGAAAATATCTTTATGTTGCTTTCAAACATTGTTGATTATTTGAATTTGAGATTCAGAATCATTTTCCCTCGGAATATAGATATTGAATGTGGAGAATGAAGACATTTCCCTCTCAGCTTCTAGCTTCCGCCAATGAATCTGATTGTCATTTCTTTGTAGATAACTTATTATATTTTTTCTGAAGGATTTTAGATTTTTTTTCTTATCTAAAATTTCACCAGGATGTGATTAGTCATGAGTAGCTTTTAAAATTCATCTTACTGAGCATGTGGAGGGATGAAAGGCTTATGTCTTTCTTCTGTTCAAAAAAAGTTCTAGTATTTTAAAAAACAATTTCTTCCCCCTTATTTACTCTTTCTAACACTTTTATTTTTCAGATATTGGATCTCTTTGTCCATGTTTCTAAACTTTTCCCTTTATTTGCTGTCTCTTTATCTTATTGCTCAATGTTCAGGGATAGTTCCTCCATGTCTCATTTGAAATAACAAATTTAATCTTTAGCTATATCCATTTTATTTTTCAACCTGTCAAGTATTTTTCTGAATCATGATTTTAATTTCTAATAATTTGTTCTTACCCTCTTTCTCTTTTTTTATAATATATCACCTCTTTTTTTGTATGGATGCAATATTTTTTTCAAATCTAAGAATATTAATTAGAGGTTTTCCAAAGTTCCTTTTGTTCTCTAAATTATGTGTTTCTTCTGGAGTTAGTTATCATTTGTTCATCTTGGTTCTTCTCATTCATGTTCCTGGTTTTCCTTAAATTCTTAGTGATCCTAGGTCGTCTGTTCATATTTATGAATTGGAGCGTATATTGGTTAGCTTAGACAGCTAGTACTCAGGGTTTCCCCGAAATTATGTAGGCCTGTTTCACTGGTGGGCTGCTTCCTTGTAGGTTCTGTGTAGTTGGCTCTTCTGCAGCTTGTCTGTGTGAAGAGTATCCTGGGCAACCCCACTCCGAGACACAGCTACCACTCTAGGAGAGGTTACTTTGGTGGTTAAACATTTTAGAGAATTTTCCTCTTGGTGGAGTTTCCATTCCTGCTTGTTGTACCTCCTTGTCTGCTGCAGAGGCCCTAATACTTATCCTAGAGTCCTTCCCTGGGCTTTCTTTACACACTGGATCATAGCCTTAGCCTATGGGCAAAAATGGCAGCCCAAACAGACCATCATGTCTGCACCGAGGTTTCCTGATGAATACCTGATCACTGATTGCCCATGATCCACACCTCCTCTTTGGGTTGACTTAACGTGGTACCACTATAGGGCTTCCTCTGGAGAAAGCACACTTACCCTGGTTCCCTTTGTCTTAGATTTTCCGGTTCTGTCTGCTTCTGGCCTCTAGGAATTCTTAAAAATTTCTGTTTGTTGCTGATACTATTGTTTTTCACAGTTTTTGTGGGTTTGTCCTTTTTAAAAGTATTGTTTTGCTTAAAGTATTATTACTTGACTTCCTTAAAGCTAGATCCTAAGCCTCCTTCTTCCAATCTATGCCCAAGACTTAATATGATGTGATAGTTAATTTCATGTGTCCACTTGACTGGGCTAAGGGATGGCTGAATAGATGGTAAAACATTATTTCTGGGTGCATCTGCGAGGGTGCTTCTGGAAGAGATTAGCATTTGAATCAGCCCAGAGTTAGTAAAGAAGATCTGCCCTCACCAAGGTGGATGGGCATATTCCAAACCCTTGAAGGCCCAGATAGAATAAAAAGGCAGAGGAAGGCAAATGCGCTCTCTCTTTGAGCTGGGATGTCCGTCTTCTCCTGCGCTTGAGCACTGGAGCTCCTCCTGGTTCTCTGGCCTTCCAACCCCAGGACTTGGACCAGCATTCCACTGGTTCTCAGGTCTTTAGTCTCAGATTGAATCACACCACCAGCTTTCCTGGTTCTCCGGCTTGCAGGTGGCATATTATGGGACTTCTTGGCTTCCATAATCATGAGAAACAATTCCCATAATAAATCCCATCTATGTCTATATGTATATCTTTATCTATATTTCTATATATTTCTGTATCTCTATTTGTTTCTATTCCTATCTATTTATCTCCTACTGGTCCTATTTCTCTAGAGAATTCTGACTAATACATGTACCAAAGACTCCTCAAGTTCCATCTTCTGCCAAGGCCTCTTCTCTGAGCTCCAGTTGCATGTGTCCATTGGCCTAACTGATACATGCTTACACAGTCGGTTGAATTTACAACAAACTGAAATATGTCTCAAATTAGTCTACTTCTTTACATTTCTTCCACCATCACTCTTGTGCACACTACCATCATTTCTTACACTGTCCACTGTAACAATCTCCAAATGGATCTCCTTGAATCCTCTCTTGCCTTCCCTAACCCTCCAATTCATTGTTCACAGAATAGCCAAAGTGATCTTTAAAACACAACACAGATCATATGATTTCTTTGCTTAAAACCCTTTAATGTCTTCCCTTTACTTGTAGGATAAAATCCAAAATTCTCAGCATGCCCAACAAGATTCTACATGGTCCTCCCACTTCTCTTGTCTCATCTCCTACCACACCCTCCCACCTCGGTGCTC